GATCTCGTAAGGCTGCGCCCCACTCCTTCCACGTGCGTATCGTGGTCACTCCGAAGATTGATTGTGCCACTTGATTAGTCACTGTTGAGGTCCCGTCTGCCGCATGCGTCACATCTGTCGGCGTCCCCGTTTCCAAGGTTCGGCGCCACCACTCAAGCGCTGCACCTCGAAGAAGCGAAACCACGTAATTAATACGCGTGGCGTCATCATTAACTCCTGCTGCAGTGAAGAAGACCTCGACCCCGAATGGCCACCCCTTCACTGTTACTGTCTTGTCTGTAGGATTAAATGGGGGCGGGTTGACGGGCTTGATCTTGATCGTCGTTACTGCAACTGTCGTTGCTGCCGCTCGCTGCCTGTCCTCTTCTTCGAAGTCACGTGTGAGCGCGTCCAAGGGATTGCTCACCGCTTGACTGTTGCCCTCGCCTTCGTCCTCGGGCGACACCTGACGCGCTTCACCTCGCGTCTGGCGCAGCTCGGCGTTTTCTTCACGCAGTGTTGTTACTTCTGCCATTAACGACTTCATGCTCTCCTGCATTTCTGCCACTTGCGCCATCATCCTGTTAACCGCCTCCTGATCCATGTGCCTAGCGCTACGTCTGGTGGGCAGTCGGGTATCCGTGGCCTTCAGGCAAGTGAAAATACGAACTTTCGGAGTCGGGCAGTATTGAATTAACAATCCCTGCGGCCAACCGTCGTGTAGTCACTAAACCAGCCACACCCTATGCCACCAAACTACCATCGGAAAAGCGGGGTGAACTAGGAAAGTAGCTCTGATACCAGGTGTTATGAGCTGTAAAAGAGAGTGCGCAGGTATACGAATAACGAGACTGTGATTAACTGATCTGAGAATACAATGAAGGCACAGACTAATGTAGGGGTTGGCCTAGCTAGGAGGAAACCTCGGACGAGCGAGGTTGGGGTGCCGGTTTGGCGATGGGAAATGCCGAAGGCGACGCGAGGAGCCTCGGCAGCGTTGAAATCGGCCGAACGTGCAAAGTCCGAAAATCGGGCTGTACGCGTAGCAGTCAACCCCGATAAGGAATTCGGGAAAATTCATTACAAGCACGGTGACATGTGGTTGCTAATATCTTCATCCTTACTAGCAATTAGGGAAACCCTAGTGGTTGATGGGAACTATAGAAGGCTGATCTATTGCATTATTGCATTATATGCTATATACATAGAACACCCAATTACATGCATGTATGTTGCCAGATACAACTTCAATTGGGATAAAAGGCTTATGCTAAATGTGACTTGCGCTCTTGGGTGGGATGTGTTTCTACAAGCCGATCTGTACGTATAACTAATTTCACAATGGCGAGAAAGAAAGGTGTGCAGCATTCTTGGTGTTTTACACGTGGGCAGGAAGGTGCGAGCAGTTTCGAGAGCCAAGATTATGCTGCCCAGGGCGGTAACAGAAAGTGCTTCCCAAGGGAACGAGTGAAGGCACTTACCCATGTGGTTCTGCTTTTTGAGCCAAAAGCTACATCTTTTCCGCACCTGGACAGGTCTGGCTTCATCTGTACACTCTACTGTGTAAATCTGGCCAAATTCAACTGTTCGGGCAGCGGGCAGGCAGCTGCACGTGTTCCTACATCAACTCATCCCATCTCTCATCAGCTTCACTGCTCACCATTCCTTGTGCAACGTCATCATGTGGAGCAGGCATCAGCGGTGCTGCTTCGATGATGGTTTGGCGTGTGAATTCGCTCGTTGACGCACCTTCCTCGAATTCGGTACCAGGGTCACAGCAGTTGCTGATGTCGTAAGCTTCAGCCGCAACGGTCGCGCAGTGTCGCATGAATATCCCTGCGAACTGACATTCCGAGAAGCTCGACAAACCTGACCTGACGGAAACGGAAGCGTTACTTCATCCGACGTACGTAGAGCTAATCGGAGCCGTTGATTTTTAGCCTTGCGAAAGTTTCATCAAGCGGGACAAAGGCCACCTTTCGTTCATGGCAAATTGACACGTGTCGAATAGTGTAGTCTGCTCCACGACGTTACCCCGTCGCCCCCCACAGAGCCTGTCACCGACCAGATTCCTGGGATGTTGAGAGTTTTGCTCAATTCCGCGGAGTCGCAGTTCGTTTTATTATCGCCACGTGGCATGCCTTCGATCGCGTGAACCGCGATTTTCTTTAGGGAAAGTATATCCCAGCTCCATAGTTTCAAAAATCTCTCAAAATTAGTCCTAATTTTACTCAAAAAGTACAGCTTTCTAGAAGTTTGCTCACGCGAGGCCCAGATTATGTTCAAAACTGGTCCTGCGGGGCAAACTTTTCGACACGTGTCCTATTTCGTATTTGCAATTTCTGACGGGGGCAAAAAACATAAAACCCCTAGGGGAACCAAGACACACGTTCGGGAGGGATCAACCCTAAACACGGGGACCCGCTTGGTGTTTAGGGTTGATCCCTCCCGCAAATGTGCCCTAGTTCCCGAGGGGCTATATTATTTTTTGCCCCGTCGAAAAATTTTCCAAGTGAAATTGGACACGTGTCGAGAACTTCGCCCCGCAGGACCAGTTTTGAACATACTTTGGGCCTCGCGTGAGCGAAATTCTAGAAAGTGGTACTTTTCGAGTGAACATGGGGCTAAACTTGAGAGAAATCTGAAAGTATGGACCTGGAATATAGTTTCCCTTTTCTTTATTGTTATCACAGTTTTCTTGAGAAATTTAGTTAAGATCTCTTGAAGTTTGTGATAACAATATAACACATCGCGGTTCACGCGATCATAGGCTCGCCACGTGGCGAAAATAAATCAAACCGCGCTTCCGCGAAATTGAGCAAAATTCTCTGGGATGTTGCACTACCCAAACATGAAGCCCGTCGCAAGCAATTCGCGATGCGACTGGTCGCCTCCACCTTCGTTTGATCTGCAGCAGGTTCAGCATTTGTCGAACAGGAGCGCGGCGATGGCATGCAGTACGGACGGAACGGAATCTTGTTGGCTGCCCTTGCGTTTCTGATCAGACCTGTCATTCGTCCCCTTCCCACACCCATGCCCGCAAAAGCAAGCCAGATTCGTTTCACCTTTGCAAAGTGTTTCCTTTCCGCCTTGTACAATACAGACCCCGCTAGGTGATTTGGGCGTAACAGAGATGGTTTCCAGGAAATCCCTTAAAACATTCAGTATGTGGAAGAAGCTGCTGAACGCGGTTGTTTCTGCAACATGTGTGTTTCTTTCAGATTCGATTCCGTCACAACTGGGTGGAAACCATTTGGGATGAATTAACACACTTTACGACCGATCTGGAGAATTTACTAGATTACCCTCTTTTTTTTCATTCGCGCAGTCCCCGAGCCGAAGAGCCCGTTTCACACTTTCCGCTAGCCGCACTTGCCCCTGGCGGCGTGTCCGCTCCCCAACTCAACATCCACGGCAAGCTGGCTGCCAGATTCCGCGTGCGGCTGTCTGTCTCCCCCAGATCCTCCCCACCCACACGCGTGTGTTTCGGCGCGGAGTGATTTTCTTCTAACGGCGGGGTGATTTCCTGGGGACGCGAGTGTCCCATTCTCTCCGATACCAACCTCACGTCCATAAAAGCAACGTGACGAACAGTTTCTTTTGTCCACCAGACTCTAGCAAGCTGCTTTTACTTCATTGATTAGAAAGGATCTACCAGGGAGTGTTCCATCGACGCATTACATTACCTCGCGCCGCAAGCTGTCGAATTCCTGTTGCTGCGATTCGCAATACTACCTTGCGTCACTACAAAGTGACTGTTCGTCGAAGAGCAGCTTCGTCCACCTTGTGCGTGGTTTCAATGGCTTCACAGACCGCCATTGGCGTCAGAAACCACTTACAAGCACCGCCTAATAATGGAATCGACATCGCGCCGTCGAACGCGATCCGCAGCACGCTGGGCGCGGTCGAAATGGCGGCGCTTGAAGGCAAGCTGCAGCTGCTGCAGATCCAGCGAGAGCTCTCAGCCGTCCGATGCCAAGGCTTCATCGAGATGATCCAATCGTCGCTGCTCGCCGAGCAAGAAGAAGCCGCCGCCATATCCGCCGCCAAATCCGCAGTGAAATCCTGTGCGAGTTCCGCTGGCGGAGGAGGCGGAGAAGACGCCGTGCCTGGCGGCGGCTTTGATGCTGATCAGAGGCTGACGCGAAGCGGCATCGAGCCGTTGGATCGATCGAGGCGCGAATCGCGGAAACTTTTCCGGTATATGTCGCTCGACGTTCGTCCAACGGCCGGCAACCAAACCTGGAGAGAAGATCTTAGCTTTTACGACGAACCCACATCGTGCTCACCACGTGTACAGGGTCCTGGCGGAACTGCCGCTTCTCACGGTAGCCCTTCCCGGCTGCGCGGCTCCCCGCGACACAGATCTCCGCGCCACGCGGCTTCCGCGCGCGCGCAGGCCGGCGCATCCGCTTCTCCCCGCGCCCTTGCGCAAACGCCTGCTCTTCCGCGGCCCGGATCTCCACTCGTTGCTGCGCGTCAGCTTCCGCTTACTCCGCGCATGGTTTCCGCCGCTTCCCCGAGAGTTGCTGCGCTTGCGAATTCGTCTCTGCGGAGGCACGTCAGCCTGAGTGCAGGGTTCGAATCCCCGTGCCAATAAATTATCAGCAGTAACTTCAGCGTACTCAGCAAGTTTTTTCGCAGACGCGTTCTGTTACTCCACAACTTCAGCTGACACAACTGTACAATTCGTTACAGTTTACTGCGCTGCTACTAAATGGCAAAGTTAGTGTAGATGGTCCCAGCCAAGATGCCAACAGACAGAAGGTCAATAGAATTACCTATTGTAGTGAGATGCATTGAGGAAGCCGATCTCTCATCATATAGTGTAGGGCAATGTAGCTCTATGTACATACCGAATTATGTAAAATTCTGTTAACATTGTCTTGCTGCTTACAACTGGATAAGTCACAGTTAAAAATGCATGCACTGCGCTACCTCTCTCTTCTGACGTGATTACCATACAACCATACGTGCAGATTATTGAGATGCCTGAGTCACGGCATCTTACCGGATTAATCTCAATATCCCCAACACGCAACACCAACAAAGACTTCAATACCCACTGCCTCTCCTGCCTTGGTCCACTGACCACACCACACCACACCACACCACACCACACCACACCACACCACACCACTCCACACCACACCCCTTCAGCAGTTTCTGACACCTCAAAACGCTCCACCCCTCAATAGCCTCACCAGTGCCCCGTACCTGCGCTGCTTGCCATGCCCTCCTTCCACTGACCAAACCCTCCCGGGCCCGGCATGTTGAGTCGTCTCACAACCCGCCGCTCTTCAGTGACCTCATATCCTCTGTCTACCCTGCCTGCCCTGCCGGCGTTGCATGCCTTGCCGGCGTTGCCTGCCTTCCTTGTGTTGCCGGCGTTGCCTGCCTTGCCTGCCCTGCCTGCCGTGCCTGCTTTGCCTGCCCTGTCTGCCCTGCTTTTCCGGCGTTGCCTGCCTTACCTGCCTTGCCTGCGTTGCCTGTCTGCCCGGCGTTGCCTGCTTTGCCCGCCCTGCCCTACATTCGCTGCACATATCCCTCCCACTACTGCTCGCTCCTCCTCCTCCTCACATACCCACTGGTACGCCAGCAGATTCCCCCCCCACCCATTACACGGCTTTCCTATAGGTGGGAGGGAGAAAGCGGCTCAGTGCAATCTGTCTGCTCTCCCCTGCTTCCGCTGCTAATACCCCTCCACCACAGCCCTCTCCTCCTCCTCACACACCCATTGATAGGCGAGGAGGTTCTCCTCCCACCTGCTCCACGGCTCTTCTTCCGCATGGGCTCAATACCCCCTCTCTGCTCTGCCCTGCTTCCACCTGATAAACCCCTCTACCACCTCTCGCTCTTCCTCCTCAGACACCCACTCGTATGCCAGGAGATTCTCCTCCCACCCGCTCCACGGCTCCCCCTCAGCCTCCAACCACTGCAGCATGGCTGGCAGCACGTGGCCTTGGGAGAATGCCTCTACTCTCTGACACACGGCAGGAGACATGCGGAGCGTGTTTTGAGTGTTGGTGCTGGCGCTTTTGCAAGGGAATCCGGCACTGTGCCACTGAGTGTATAGCGCCTCTGCCTGCTGCTGCTGCTGCTGCTGCTGCTGCTTGAAATGGTCTGTTGATTCAGCTTCTAGAGGCATGCTGGAGTGAGAGACATCAAGTTCAGCAGCAGCGGAGGAGGATTTGTTTTTGGGCAGCTTCGGTGCCCGGAAGGGCATGAAGGAGCAGTCGGCCAATAGGAGGCCTTGGGGCGGAGCGAGGGGCAGCACGACGCGGGAGTGGCGGGCGAGAGAGGGCAGCAGCATGGCGGGGGGGATGGCTCCATGCAGCACTGCTAGCGCTGTTCCCACCATCTTGCGGATCTGAGGGGCAAACGGGTTGGTAATGGGGGGGCGGTGAGTAAAGGGTGGGAGCAGTGAGCAGGGACGACAGCAGCATGGCGGAGGGGATGGCTCCGTGGAGGATGGCTAAGGCTGTTCCCACCATCTTGCGGATCTAAGAAACAAGGGGCAAAGAGGGGGTGGGAGAGTGGGTGAGTGTCTTGGTGTATCAAACCCGCCTCCAAACTGCCTCTAAACGGCTTGAGACGTCTCAAAACACTCTTCTTTCACGAACGACTCGTTCCTGCTTCCCCTCCTCTCTCCCACCCTGCCTCCCACCCTGCCTCCCACCCTGCCTCCCACCCTGCCTCCCACCCTGCCTCCCACCCTGCCTCCCACCCTGCCTCCCACCCTGCCTGCAACCCTGCCTGCCACCTCACCCCCCTTCGCGCCCCCCTCCCCCCCCCCTCACCCCCTCACCCCCTCACCCCCAATTCTCACCTGGTACAGCATAAACGACTCTCCCCGAATCACAACGCGGACGAATCTCCGCCGCTCCTGCCGGCCCACACCCCTCCCTCCTTCCGCCTCTTCTCCCTCCAACCTGCTCCCCTCCTCAAGCCTGCTCCCCTCCACACTGCTCGCATAAAAAACGCCCTCTTCAATCCAAGGCAGCACCGTGCAAGTGTCGATGGTTCTGAAATGCGCAGTGCTGATTTTGTCACTCTTATCCGTCTCATGCAGCCACACCGCCTTCCTCCCCGCCCTCTCCGCCCCCTCTGCCCCCACCACTTCCTTCCCCTCTTGCTCCCCTAACCCCCCAGCTCCATCCCCTCTCTCGCCCTCTTTCTCCCCTACCCTCTCTTGTTCCTCTCCCATGCCACTACCCATCTCCGTTTGAACCCTCTCCATCGTCTCAACTCTCCTCTCTTGAGACGTCTCAAAAGTTGCCTCCCTCGGAAGGCCCAAAGAGACCAAATTTCCTCCCCCGTCCACTACCTCTCCTCCTGTCGTAACAGTCCCTGCACTTGCCTCTCTGCCTTTTCCCCGTCCTTCCCCCCTCCCCTCCTCTCTGCCTCTCCCCCATGCCCCCCCACTCCTAAACCTTCTGTCGCCAGCATTCACCCTCTCTCCACCACCCTCCCCCTTGTCTCCCTCCTCCCCTTCTCCCCCTTCCCTCTTCTGCTTCTCGGGATACAGCCGCCGCACAGTGTAGTTGTGAAACGCGTGCTTGCCCTGGGGGCGGGTGGGGGGATGGGAGGGGGCATGGGAGGGGAGGGGGTTGGGGAGAGAAACGCAGAGGAACATGGGAACACAATCTTGATACCAAAAGCAGAGAAACGCAGAGTAAAAAGCAGCTTGCTGCTCCCCTCCCCCCGCCGCACAGTGTAGTTGTGAAACGCGTGCTTGCCCTGGTGAGGGGTTGAGAGGGAGAGGGACGAGGGAGAGGGAGAGGGAGAGGGACGAGGTGGAAATGCATATGAAACGTTCAAACACAATGCAATTCCTCGTAGTAGCACCCTGCTTCCCTCCCCCCTCCCTCTTCTTCTTCTCGCAATACAGCCGCCGCACAGTGTAGTTGTGAAACGCGTGCTTGCCCTGTGAGGGGAAGGAGGGATAGGGACGGCAAATGCAGATAGGAGAGAGTCAGTAAAGCACCCTCCTCTCCTTCCTCCCTTTTCTGCTTCTCGCGATACAGCCGCCTGACAGTGTAGTTGTAAAACGCGTGCTTGCCCTGGTGAAAGGGAGGGGGGATAGGGACGGCAAATGCAGATGGGAGAGAGTCAGTAAAGCACCCTCCTCTCCTTCCTCCCTTTTCTGCTTCTCGCGATACAGCCGCCTGACAGTGTAGTTGTAAAACGCGTGCTTGCCCTGGTGAAAGGGAGGGGGGATAGGGACGGCAAATGCAGATGGGAGAGAGTCAGTAAAGCACCCTCCTCTCCTTCCTCCCTTTTCTGCTTCTCGCGATACAGCCGCCTGACAGTGTAGTTGTAAAACGCGTGCTTGCCCTGGTGAAAGGGAGGGGGGATAGGGACGGCAAATGCAGATGGGAGAGAGTCAGTAAATCACCCTCCTCTCCTTCCTCCCTCTTCTCCTTCCTGTGAAACGCGTGCTTGCCCTGGTGGGGGGGATGACGGAGGGCAAAGGAATTTGGAGGGAGAAATGCTAAGGAAACGCGATACAGCCGCCGATCAGTGTAGTGGTGAAAGTTTCACCGTGAAACGCGCGCTTGCCCTGGAGGGGGAAGGAGGGACAGGGAAAGCAAACGCAGAGGAACATGGAAGCACAATCCTGATACTGTGTGCCTGTTTCTTGACTTTTATGTCGACCCAAAACGAGGTGACCTTTTGAGTCGACTCAAAACGAGGCGACTTTTGAGCCGACTCAAAATGCAGAGGAACTTTCTCCCCTTTCTCCCCCTCCCCCTCCCAGTCCTTACCTCGATTGTCTTGAGTATTTGCCGAAACTTCTCCAATCGCCTCCTGTATTGAGGCGCCTCAGACCAAGTTGATTGTGAGGCTCCGTGTTTTGAGTCGACTCACTTCTCCAATCGCCTCCTGTATTGAGGCGCCTCAAACCAGTTTGATTGTGAGGCTCACCTCAAATGTGTTGAGTATCTGCTGAAACTCCTTCAGTCGCCTCCCCAACTCCTCGAATGGCCCTTGCATTAATTATGTGGTGGTACACGGGTAGATGCAGACACATGCAAAACAAACAAACAAACTTCCTAACCCTCACACCCTTCCCCAACTCCTCCTCCTCTTCCTCCTCTTCCTCCTCTTCCTCCTCTTCCTCCTCTTCCTCCTCTTCCTCCTCTTCCTCCTCTTCCTCCTCTTCCTCCTCTTCCTCCTCTTCCTCCTCTTCCTCCTCTTCCTCCTCTTCCTCCTCTTCCTCCTCTTCCTCCTCTTCCTCCTCTTCCTCCTCCTCCTCCTCCTCCTCCTCCTCCTCCTCCTCCTCCTCCTCCTCCTCCTCCTCTTCCTCCTCTTCCTCCTCTTCCTCCTCTTCCTCCTCCTCCTCCTCCTCCTCCTCCTCCTCCTCCTCCTCCTCCTCCTCCTCCTCCTCCTCCTCCTCCTCTTCCTCCTCTTCCTCCTCTTCCTCCTCTTCCTCCTCTTCCTCCTCTTCCTCCTCTTCCTCCTCCTCTTCCTCCTCCTCTTCCTCCTCCTCTTCCTCCTCCTCTTCCTCCTCCTCTTCCTCCTCCTCTTCCTCCTCCTCTTCCTCCTCCTCTTCCTCCTCCTCTTCCTCCTCCTCTTCCTCCTCCTCTTCCTCCTCCTCTTCCTCCTCCTCTTCCTCCTCCTCTTCCTCCTCCTCCTCCTCCTCCTCCTCCTCCTCCTCCTCCTCCTCCTCCTCCTCCTCCTCCTCCTCCTCCTCCTCCTCTTCCTCCTCCTCCTCCTCCTCCTCCTCCTCCTCCTCCTCCTCCTCTTCCTCCTCTTCCTCCTCTTCCTCCTCTTCCTCCTCTTCCTCCTCTTCCTCCTCTTCCCCTCATTCCTCCTCTTCCTCCTCTTCCTCCTCTTCCTCCTCTTCCTCCTCTTCCTCCTCTTCCTCCTCTTCCTCCTCTTCCTCCTCTTCCCCTCATGCCTCCTCTTCCTCCTCTTCCTCCTCTTCCTCCTCTTCCTCCTCTTCCTCCTCTTCCTCCTCTTCCTCCTCTTCCTCCTCTTCCCCTCATGCCTCCTCTTCCTCCTCTTCCTCCTCTTCCTCCTCTTCCTCCTCTTCCTCCTCTTCCTCCTCTTCCTCCTCTTCCTCCTCTTCCTCCTCTTCCTCCTCTTCCTCCTCTTCCTCCTCTTCCTCCTCTTCATGCCTCCTCTTCCTCCTCTTCCTCCTCTTCCTCCTCTTCCTCCTCTTCCTCCTCTTCCTCCTCTTCCTCCTCTTCCTCCTCTTCCTCCTCTTCCTCCTCTTCC